TCTTGCTTAGAGACCACCAGCACATCATCTAAGTAACTGCTGCTGCGCTGAAATCCGCAGACCCTGTCGGCGTGTGTGAGGGGCTTGTCCGTTCAAGTCGTCATCTCCGTCAGTCGTTGGTCGTCGTCTCTGTCGTCCCCTTTCCCTGCCTCCACCTTTCCCTGGGCTCGTCGAAGCTCCCCCCCTCCTCACGCGCCAGCCAAAGAAGCGAAATTTAGCAACGTCATATTTGAGTCGAAGGGAGGCCCCTTCCCTTCGATCCCTTCCCCGCCAGGGGGGGGGGGTCCCCAGGGGGGGGTCCTGGGAGGGGGTCCCGGGTGGGGGGGGGTCAGGTACGACGCCCCCCCCGGGAGTCCCGGAGCCCGAAAAGGCCCCAAGACGGGCCAAGAGTGCCCCAAGTTGGCCCCAAAAACAGTCCAAGACAACCCCGAATCGCCGAACGATCTGTCCAAGACGCCTTGACGGCCTGCAGACCCAAGAGGCCCCCAAGATCGCTCCGAGGCGGCCCAAGAGCCCCCCAAGAGGGTCCCCTAACGGCAGAAGAGGGCCCCAAGACGGCCCAAGACGCCTCCAACACGGCCCAAGAGGCCCCCAAGACGGCTCCAGAGAGTGCCCAGACGGGGGACCGAACGGACATTTCGAGTCCTCAGCCCCAAAAGGCCCCCGAGAGGCCCCGAAGAAGCCCCAAGAGGCCCCAAAGAGGCTCCCAAGGGGCCCCCAAACTGCCCCCCAGAGGCCTTCGAGAGCGCTCGGAAGAGACCCCAAGAATCACCCCTGATGACTCAACCCACATCAGCGTCGTCGTCGCTACCGCCGCCGCCGCCGTCGTCGTTCTCCTTCAAGGACGGGTCCCCGAGCTCAAAAAGGCCTCTGGACGAGCGAAGATTGCCCCGAGACGCCGTCTGAGTACCACGGATGGCCGTCGCAACTCCTGCAGTGGCGCCACGTCAACCTACCAAAAGACCCAGACACAGCACTCCTGAGCCTGACCCGACTACGCCATATCGCAATCGCGAGCGCTGTGGTCTGCGCTTAGCACAGATGGAGGGCAGACCAACGGGCCACCTACCTCAGCCCAGCTTTCCTGCCCACGCAGGGGGGTGGTCTCAAAGGGCGAACCCTCGAATCCCTCATCGAGCCATGCCTTTCGCTCATTGAGGAGACAATCGCGGCAAACAGGTACGACGACGAGGACGGCTCGCTGACCGAGGAGGAGCAGTGGCTGGTTCGGGAGCGTCAAACGGAGCTGCACGTCAAGTCGTGGGATTATGCCTCCGCATTCGACAGGGCTTCCCCCCGGGTCGTCTGCGAGGTCTGGTCGCGACTCGGAGTACCGTCCAGAATCACCAACAGTATCGAAGCGATCTGGACCAAGCAGGAAAGGTGGGTTGAGGTCGGCCCGCTCTTGACACCACGGACAATTCTGGTTGAAGACAATCTGCCGCAAGGGGATCCGGCAGCCATGCTCGGGATGGCCACCCTGCTCATGGGGCCACTACGACGGCGAGCTGTTCTACACCCGCGAGCAACCTTTTGCACCTTCGCGGACGACCGCACGGCGGCCGCGACAGAGGCAGAATAACTACGGAGCATCGAGGAGGAGTGGGAGCTGCTGGAGTAGGTCACCGCGCTGCGCACCAACGACAGCAAGACGCAGTCCTTCACGATGCTACCGCACCAGTGTGACAACCACCACCTGCATAGCAAAAATATGTAATGCCTCGGAATCGACTTCACGATGCAATGCACGACGCTCACGACCAGAGAGCGAGGCAAGCTTGAAGAGGCACTTGCCCGCATGAAGCGGATTGCGCGCCTGCCCCTGAGCATGCGGCTGCGCACGACCACGGTGAGCACCACCGCGCTGCCGGTGTCGAGCTGGGCACTAGTGGTGGCGCCACCGACAACAGGAGCAATCCAGGACCATCTACGACAAGCACGACAGGCTGTGACCCTGCGGAAATGGCCCCGGGCAGCTCCCGAACTACTTCGACGGGTAGTAATGGGGCATAGCACCGACCTACGGTACCACTTGTGCCGGCGAGCACTACAACTTCTGAGCAGCAGACTACGTCGACAGGGGCCTGGAGCACTTGCGCTTCGGGACAAGATCACGATCAAAGCCGACACGCGGGGGCCACTCCACGCCTACCGAGCGCACTTGGAGCAGAGCGCAGCGACGACGGTTTCTGGAGAGGCCCGGCGGGAGAGCTTCGACCCACCGACAGAACAGACCGACAGCTCCACGAGCTACGACTTATACTCCGATCCCACGAATGGGCAATCCTACAGGGCCGGAGCCGGCGGGAGATCCCCATGGCGGCCGGAGTGCCCTTCCCAGCTGCTGCCGCGCGCGCGGCACAGGAAGCACGGAAAGCTAACCCAATCCTCGCCTCACACATCGCCGCCGTCCTCTGCGGCTGCGTGGTTTCGGACGCCCTGCTGCAGTCCAATCAAGGCGAGGAGATCTCAACCACCTGCGACCACTGCGGTGAGCAGCACGTCCCGACGCTCGACCACATGTACTGGGTGTGCACAGCCAACGCCGACCTCCGGCAGGGTATCGCGATACCAACGGCTGACCTCACCCGCCGGCTGGGCTGGCCGACAGAGGACCTCACCAGGAGGACCACGACCAGCTGGACCAAAATGGTGTCGGTTATGGCAAGCATGCGGCAGCGTGCGCTGGACCACCGACACAAGAAACCACAGGCACCCAATTCCTCCGACCATGGTTCATAACCGTTCTCAATGGTTATTGTTTGGATCACATGTGTCATCAATTGGTTTATGTTGTACTTCAGTTCTTCTCTGGTGTCTTCTATTCTCCAGTTACACCATCTACATATATGTGGGGTTACATTACAAACTTACGTAATTGCATGTGTTGCGTATCATAAGTGGGGACCGCCACACAACGGTCGCCGCAGCTCTTCGAGCTGCGTGGTGTCCTCACACGCCTACGGATTGGGGACACAGATTGGTTATACCCCAAGACAGTTCAAGAAAACGTTGAATCGCCGAACGATCTGTGTAAGACGCCTTCGCAGCCTCTGGACGGCCCCATAGGCCTGCAAGACGGCGCAAAATGCCTCCAGGCGCAACCCCACGAAAGCCCAAACAAGCAAAATCCTTCGATTCTCGTCCGTGTTCCACAGATTCTTGCGTTCTCGTTTCTTTCGCTCCCCGAAGCTCCAAGACAACCCCACAGGCCCCAAAAGATCGCCCCGAGACGCCCCATGAAGCCTCCAACAGAGTCCTAAAGTGGTCCACGAGGGCCCCATTACGGGCCACAACGCCCCCAGCCCCAAGGCCCTGAAGCCTCGAAGATGCCCCACACTGCCCCCCAGCGGCCCACGAGAGCGCTCGAAACACACCCCAGCACATATTCCTCAGGACTCTCACCCACGCCAGAGTCTTCCCAGACGGCCGAAAAAGCTTCCAAGGACATCCCCTGGGAGGCCCGAAGAAACGAAGCACATCGATGTTCTTGTTTTCCAATGCTTCTCGAGAGTCGCTCCTTGTTGGCCTGCAGACGGCCCGAGGCGGCTCAAGAAGCCCCCGAGATCGCCCCAGGAGCGCCCAAGACGCCTCCACGATGGCCCCAAGACAGCCCGAGAGGGCCCCAAGACGGCCACAAGGCGGCTCCAAGACCTGCAAGATTGTCGCCAAGCCGGCCAAGATTCCCCCAAAATGGCTTTCAAAGAGTCTCCAAGAGGGACAATGGCCCCAAAAGAGCGATGGTTTCAAGACGGCACGACGGCCCAAGATGACCTCAAGGCGGCCCAAGAAGCCATCAAAACCTCCCAAGAGAGCTTCAAAAGGATCCTCCAGAAGGCCCGAAGAAGCAAACATCACCGATTACAAATTTTGAGCGATTCTCGCTGCGTACAGGACGGTCCTAGAAGCCTCCAAGGTTGCTCCAAAACAAACCAAAAGACCCCCAAAATGACCCAAGAGGCCTCCAAGACGGCATCAAGACTGTGCAAGAGGGACCTTAGATGGCCCAGGACCGCACCAAAAGAGCCCCAAGCTAGCCCACGAGGGCCTTCCGAGGAATCCAAGACGGCCCAGGAAGGCCACCAAGACCGCCAGGATGGCCCAAGACAGCCCGAAAGGGCTCCAACAGGACCCGTTGGAGTACCCGAAAAGACAAACATCAGAAATATCCTCAGGCTATTGAAAGATTTTCGCTTCGGGCTTCCATCAGCTCAAGACGGCCCAAGAAGCTTCCAATATTGCCCCAAGACAGGCCAGGAGAGCCCCAAATTGCCAAGGAGGCCTCCAAGAGTGGCTCGAGACGGCGCAAGAGGAGCCCTGGACGGCCCAGGACGGCCTGAAGAGAGCTCCAGGCTGTGCCAAGAAAGCCTCTAGCCTCCTCCTCTTCCTCCTCCTGTGCTCCTTCTCCTCCTGCTCTCCTCTGCCCCCTTCTCCTCCTCTTGCTTCTCCTCCACATAATTCTCTCCCCTCCTCCTCCCTCATCCACCTCCTCCACCCTTCCTCCACCTCCCACTCATCCTCCTCCCCCTGCCCCCCCCATCGTTTTCATCTTCGTCGTTCTCAGGGTCGGCGGCACCTGCCGTAAGGCCTTCGCAATAAATGATTCGTTGCCCCAGCTCAGTCTCCTACTCAGACTCCCCCATGTTTTTGTCCCCGTCGTTCTCCCTCCCTGCAAGATCAATTAGCATTAAATCGGACAATCGAATCGAATCGAAGTCTGCGCCAAGTCGGATCGCATCGGACGGAATGAACGTTGAAACGGGTCGGCTGCGCCAGGACGCGCAACATCTCCAAGCAACCATCAGGCCGTATGGGATCGTCGGAAAATTGGAACCGAGTCGAAACAGGACAACCAGAATTGGCATCGAATCGGATCGACCAGATCGAATTATACCCTGCCCTGGGGACAAACTCATTCCCTGGGGGGGGGGGGGGGCGACAGGAAAGAACGGCGCAGGCCGCAAGGATAAAAATATCGCTGTTCTCCGACCCCTTCTCTATCAGCCTGGTGCCCCGAGTGGCGAATACCGTGTCGCCGAACACCAACCGCTCGATGATGTTGAAGTCAACGCCCTCCAGCAGAAAGCAGCCTTCTCACAACCCCTGCTCCTCCTCATCCTTCTCATCATCCTCCTCATCCTCATGATCCTCCTCATTCATCCTCCTCCTCCTCCTCCTCCTCCTCCTCCTCCTCCTCCTCCTCCTCTCATCATCATCATCATCATCATCATCATCATCATCATCATCATCATCATCATCAGCATCAGCATCAGCATCATCATCATCATCATCATCATCATCATCATCATCATCATCATCAGCATCATCATCACATCATCATCATCATCATCATCATCATCATCATCATCATCATCATCATCATCATCATCATCATCATCATCATCATCATCATCATCATCATCATCCTCACCTCCTCATCCTCATCCTAATCATGATAGTCATCACTATCATCATTATCATCATCATCATCATCATCACCACCACCATCTCCATCCTCCATCCTCCTCGTCCTCCTCCTCCTCCGCCTCTGTCTCCCCATGTTCCTCGTCCTCCCTATGATCCTCCTCCCCTCACCGCCATCATCATGACCCGCCCACCATGGCCAAAACCAGCCTCGGACGCCCGAGTGGCACGGCGCGGTCTCTCGGCCGAGCGAGGCCGATCGAAAGCTCTGCACCGAGGCCACTGGAAGCGCGAGAGCCCCCTGGACGCGGCGCGCACGCCGAGGGCCGCGGCTGCCATCGGCGCGCACCTCCCGCCTGGCCACTGCGCCCAGCAGCGGTGCTGTAAACGCCTGGCGACGGGCTGCGCCAACGAGCGCCGGGTGGCTGCCGCGACTTCGCGCCAGTTGCACCCGCCGTGGGGCGTCTCGTCGCGGTGGAGCGTCCCTTTCCAGGGGGCGTCGACTGAACACTGCACCGATCCTGGCGACGCCGACCCGGGGCCAAGGAAAAAGGTGTATTAGATGGCCCCCTGGCCAAGCCTAGTGGGCGGAAAACCACAACCTCGTGGTCTGGACTCCTCGTCCACATCTTCCCCGCCCTGCTTCCGCACCCGCCAGGTGGCCCAGCCAGGGCAGGTCCCTGTCAGTCTGCCTTCCCGCCTCCGGACCCGTCTGCACGGCCTGCACGACCACCCGAGCAGTTCCTTTAAACCTTGCGCGCCGCCTCCCTCTGTCACACCTGAGCACCTCGCCAGTGTGGCCTTTACCGCTTTTCCCTCTCACCGCTGGCACACCTTCCGCCTTTGGTTGCATGCTGGCCGCTATGTTGCACGATGCGTCCCCACAATCGCCGACGCGCCTCTTCCACATCTGGGACGGGGTTAACCGTCCGGCGGTCCCACAAGGTCCGTCCTCTATACACGCCAGTTTGGGTCTCCCCCTTCCGCTGTCCCCCGACTTTACCGCCCACAGTGTCGACGCCGTCTTTTGCTTCCTCGCAGGGCCTGGATGCATCAGCCTCAGCGCTGAGCCGTGGCCGCGGTGGGTCGCCGAGGCAGAGTGCCAGCAGCCGCCACCTTCCCACGGCTCGCAGAGGTGTAACAGGTGGACGCCCGCAGTCCGCGGGATCGAAGCCGAGTTTTCAGGAGCAAAGCGCACCACGAACAGAAGCTTAGGGCCTGCCAGCAGACGGCGGCACCGAAGTCGAATCTCGAGGAACGAAACTTGCCACAGACAGAAACTTCGGGTCTGGTGCCGCCCGTGACGCGCTCCGCACGCCAGGCGAGGGGGTCCCAGCGCAGACCCGGGAAATCCGCGCGGAGACCTCTAAAAGCCATGCTTCTGCCGTGCTTTCTTCTTCAAGACCTCTCGCCCGAGCTCAGGGGCGGGGGCGGCGGCGCCGCCCGTTGGCCAGCGGGGGGCGCTCGCGCCCGAGCTCTGGGCACGGCGGCGCCACTCGTGGGCCAGCGGGCGGGCGGGTGCGGCGAAGGCGACGAACTGACCCGAGGCGCGCCCAGGCCGCTAGGACCAAGCGCCGAGGCGTGAAATGTGGTCAGCCCGGGGGGGGGCCGAATGCGCGGGCCTGGCTGTCCGATGGCATGAAAACGACAAGGATGCATAAGAGGCAACCGGACTTTTCAGTCACTCCTGGAAACCCCAGGACGGGGTTCACGCTCCTCGCGCGAGAGCGCGCCTCTAGCCAGAATGGCTGCAAAAGGACAGAGCACTCACTTCTGTCCCAAAGGGCAAAGGGGGAGGGGTGGTTACACACGACAGCGGGACCAGTTTAAATGGGACAGACAGTGAATCGGACCCCTTCCCTCCCACGGGCGAACCCTCGAGCCCCTCGAAGCTGATCGCGCGCTCTTGAATCCTGCTCTCGGCCTCCCGGGCTAGCTCTCTCCTGGCGGCCTGTCTTGACCGGCTCTTAGGGCCTTAGGGGAAGAATTCAGGGCCCGTTCTGACATAAAGTTCTCCTCGTCGATCAAGCAGATCGTGCCCCGACACAGGAGGTCCGATAGTGCCAGGTTACCCTTGCTCGGGTCGGCCTTCGTGAGGCTGTCGGCCGCCATGCGGCCGTGCGGGTCCCATCGGATCTGGGATCCTAGTGATGACGTCGCATCTCTTACTACTGCTAATTCAATGGCGCTTCGCCTATCTTGTCTCGAGCCGGCGCTATTCCGACAAAGTGCACCAAACGCACACTTGGCGTCAACTACTGACAGCGTGGCAGCACTCGGGGCAATATAGAGCACTGAGAGCTTAGGACAACAGTGAAAATGGGACCGACTGGTGTGCCAAGCTGGCTTTTGCACGTCTCCGAACAAGATCCCGCCGCATCGAATGCGTCCTCTGAGCATCGGCAAGAGACGAGGATAAACATGAGGGTTCGGCAGCACTCGTCGACGACGCGTCTCCCTTGAGACGGGGCGATCTCCAAGCCAGCAGCGAAGCCTTAGCCCGCTTGTTCTTTCTCACATCTGCTTCCGCCGCGACGACGAGGAAAGCCCCCTGGGCCCCTTCCCGGCGAGCCGACCCCAGTCCGCCGGCGTCCGAAACCGCGACATAAGTGAGAGTGAAAGGATCGATCGGCCAGATCACGATATGCTGAGGCGCACTCGCCTTGAGGTGGCGAACGATCTTGCAACGCAACGTCGCATCTTCGACTGTGGGAGTCGGGGGGGCCTCGGACTGCAACGACGCTCCTCCCGAGACATCCGGCCTGGTCTCCCTGGCCAGCCACTGGATCTGGGCGACCATAGTGCGGTAGGCCTTAACCTCTTCTCTCGTGAGAAGCGACTGCGGTTCAGCCCTGCGATGCTTTTCAAGTCTCATGGCCTTAAGTTGCCCCAAAGGATGAAGGGCTCCCGCGCTGCTCCTCTCGGCCCCGAGACATGGCTCAAGCAAGGATTTCTGGAAAAAGTCTGAAATCAGGAAGTCGGTGATCACCCTGTGCCACAACGACGGAGCATCGCTGAGTCCACGCACGGTGGCCACTAATTCCACCAGTTCGGCGGGCGCTAGATCTATTCCAGCACACGGCTCACAGTAAATCGCCCCGGACGGCCCCGTCAGGCGGTCGCTCTGGCAGAAGGCGTTCTCGGCGTCAGCCACCTCTAAAGTCCAGCTCAAAGACGCGATCGCTTACAGCGCATGCATGAAGCTTTCGGCCTGCGGAGCGGGGGCATAAACATGCAAATCGGCTGCGCCAGGGTCATGAAGTCCCTGGGCGCACCGCCTGGACTTGGGCTCCGGGGCCGCTCCGATCCCTTCCTGGGGTTTGAATCTGCGAACCATTCGTGAACCTAAAATGCGATCGGGGCGCCTACGCCTGACGATCTGAGCATCTTGCGCGGAAGCCACGCGCACGGCCCCGGACTGGAAGATGCTGTTCTATTCCAGCGTCCGAGAACACGAAAAGCCTCCTCTCCTCCTCGCCCAGATCCCTCAAGTTCACCTCGGCCCCACGACGAGCAGGTCTCCCTCTCTCTCTCTCTCTCTCTCTCTCTCTCTCTCTCTCTCTCTCTCTCTCTCTCTCTCTTCTCTCTCTCTCTCTCTCTCTCTCTCTCTCTTCTTTTTTTTTTTGTTTTTCTCTCTCTCTCTCTCTCTCTCTCTCTCTCTCTCTCTCTCTCTCTCTCTCTCTCTCTCTCTCTCTCTCTCTCTCTCTCTCTCCAGGGGGGGCCTCTGGCGCCTGAGACGATGCCGGAGCTGACCTGTGGAGCCCCCGCAGAACGCACTGGGGCGCATCGTCGCATTCTCGGATTCTAATCTCTCAAATGGCTGGCTGGGCGCGTCCTAGCTGATTGGGGCGCTCCTCGGCCGGTGTCGGCCTCGGTCTAACAGCCGACGGCTCTTGATCGGGCTCTGGCCGCATCTGTGATGCGGGTCTACCTCGCGGCCCCTCTCCCGAAGGCGCCTCAGAATCAAGTCCGAGGGGGGGCAGAGAGCAGACGGAGGGAATGGATCGAGCGGAGGAGGGAGGCAAGGCGGGAGAAAGAGCAGTAGGCGCATCGGCCTCTCTCGCTGGCAGCGCTCCCTCGGGCACGGCGGGCGGAGACGGCGACGAAACAGGCTCCGCTGTTGCCAGCGGAAGTTCCGGGCCCGGCCTCTGGGCGCCGGGCGCGACGCCCCAAGCTTCGGTCGGAGGAGGCCCCTCGCCCTCCACGTCGACAGCGCCGACTCGACCGGCCGGGCGCTGACGCTCGTCTTTCAAATCGGCAAGCCCGGAGCAGACTAGCAGTTCGGCCCCCGCGGCCTCGTCTCTAGCAGCCAGTCTCACTTGCCCCGCCGGGCACTCGAGCAAACGCGTCCTCATCGCCACCCACACATTGGCCCCACGCTGAAGCACGGTGGCCCCGGGCCCCGCCCATCGAGCCCGACCCCTCCCTGGACTGGTCTCCGGCGTTCGGTATTCGCCAGACGTGCACCCAAGATCCCTGGGCGAAAACCTTGTCGGCATGTTTTCTGGCCGAACTGGCTGCCTTGAGATGCTCTCGCGCGTCTAGAGACGCGATGGCCTTTCTGGTCTCCTCTCTGAGCAGATGCCCACGTGCGAAGGCTGCTGACGGGGGCGCCCCATCTCTGGAACCTCTCGCAAGATCCTCCGCTCCGATATCATCGATGGCATCA